AAGCCTCACTTATACTGCGGTATCCGTTTAACGTATCTTATGCAGTCATAATTTCAGAGCAATTTGTATACAAATCAAACACGTTGGCTTCACGGTTTACCTTTGCATATAATGAGTGCGTATTTGAATGACAATCACTTAATGGGGGTATTGAATCCCGTCTGAAGGATTGGGGTTATATAATACATTACAACGAGCAAATTTGTATTACAAATTGAAAACGAGACAGGTGATTTGTTAATACTTATAAAAATAATTATAATCCTTTTAAGGAAACGAATATTTCAATGCATTCGTTATCTCGATTTGAGTTCTGATAAGATCTTTGGCTTCATTAATAATTTTGTCAATTTTCTGTGAGGTCAGTTAAAATATGATAGCATCTCTTATTGAGGTGAGCTACCAATTTAACACATGAAACGTAATTGCCGACCAAATTAGTCGAAATATTTCGAGTCTTGTATTTAAGATGATAAATACTTGAGAATTGACACATAATTTTCTTTAGGATCATCATCAGACTATCAGAGACTACTGCTGAGCAAAGGCTCTTCCACATGGATAAGATTTGAGCATTAATCGCCGCGCTTGCTCAAGACGGGCTTGCGATTTCAAACTTATAATTGAATTTTTTTTAGATATTTGTCAAATTCATTATATTACTACACAGTGTACGTTTAAGTGTATTTGCATATTTTTTATTGGTAACGGGAAATCCGTCGTAATGATGTTCGCTGGGATATTAAAAAAATTGTTAATTGTCATATATTGTCCATTGTTTGCGTGAAGGAATTAACAGCACGGAGAACAACTTCGAAGTTTCTTTGTTATATCGCCATACTTAGTCGGTATTTTTCTAACAACAACTAGTAATTAACTTTCATTTAGATAAAAATAAGATTATATATAATAAAGATTTATATAACAGGTAAGTAAGATGTTATTTCAGCGTTGCAAGATTTCATCCAAATAATTAAAATTCTGGTTTTTTTTTAACCAATTACCGTATTCAAACTAAAACTAACCAAAGCTGATTTATTACTGAATCTAAACGCTAAGATTACTATAGAGAATTACGCATCAAGAAGAAGATTTATTATCTAAATTCTTTATTATTATAACTAAGTATTAAGGAAGCTATTCCCTATTCCTATGTCTAATTACCCTGAAAAAGTTAAGAGCTTGACACGTGTCCATTGTGGAGTTAGAAAGGTCTTAGAGCACTCGAGCGAAGTTAAAGCTACCGCTTAGCCAAATAGGTCATAGGGGTTGTAAAGACTTGGGTTACTAAACTGCACATATTGTGATGCAATCGAAGAGTTTCATAAGAATATTAATGAATATAATATTATTCGGATTACTACGCGTATTTTATTATGTTTAAAATTACACACTGACGACGTTTTGGTTACTTTTAAGCAACCGTGGTCACGGGCAGACTAGATGTAGAGTATGTAGTTTTAAAATCAAAAATACGCGTAGTATAATCCGAATAATATTCGTTTCATTTAAATGAATAAATTTAAATTTAAATGAATCGCGATGTCTTAGAACTCTTCATAAGAATATATTTAAGACCAAGTTTATTTACGATATTAAATAATAACAAGTCTTCATTTTGTTTTATATTGTGTATACATAGTTTAAATATATTTCTCAAGCGAATATGTTAAACATTACCAATACATAAATGTCGTAGCTGTGGACAACATTATTTATACATATTTTAATATAATGTAGATTAACAAGGAAAACGTACCAATTGACATACAAATACGGAGTTATTACTTATTAGTATTCCGCATTCTACGTTCATATTACATTGAACGTGAGTACACGATTCGCTCATTGAATTCAATAGATTACAAAAAAACTATTTGTTTTACAGAAACAAATACATATTTACTACTGATTTTTTAAAGAAAATTATCCAATTCATCACTAGAGAACCAGATATACTAGTTATTACGTTTAAAAAATTGTAATGTTTCCTTTCTATTCTATGAGAACATTTTCGTCTGTTTGACTTTCCCAAAACTACTTGACCAATATGTTCGTTGTATTTCTTGTCTTTGTATAAAAATATATTTCTAGCAGTTTTTGTGAAGGTTTCTTTGAAGAACAGTTGGTGGTTTAAAGATAACTTCAGGGACAGTCTTTGATATGAAGTGAAGTCGTTTGACTTGATGCATGGAGTTTTTTACAGTTTGTGTTTACATCTAGCAAGAGTGGTCTATTTCAAAATATTTCACTCACAAGATTCTATTTTCAAAAAGGGTTTTTATAATTAAATAGCATTTAATTTGAAAATTTCAGTTGAAAATTTGACAATTATCATGTCCAGAAGAAATTTTAATTTAAGAAATGTTTACCCTTTTAACATAAAGAATATTAAAAACGCATTGTCAACAAGATATGAATTACCTTTGTCTGAAATTGTAGACATTTATTATTACTCTTTTCCGACTCTTTCAGGGGATGCAAACAATACTTTATAACAAAGGAACAAGCAATCTAATATACATAATATATTTTACATGACTACCTCTCTTTGAAATCGGTTGACAAGTAACAGTCACTTATAAGTCATATTAAAGACTATAACATTTTATTTCATTGTATTTATGTAGTATTATATCCTTCTTAAGTAATTGTATGCAACCTTCACGGTGTCTGCTGGATGTGTGTAATTCTATCCGATTGTCAGCTCCTTAATGGGGACAGAGGTGTATGACCGTACTACATAAGTGGGATAGCGAAATTAAACTACTAAGATAGAAGAATTATAAGAGTTTGGATCACTATCTTGAAGTAAATATATATAATACTAGTTTTTGCCCGCGACTTCGTCCGCGTTAATTTCGTCATTAGTAATATAGGTATAGCTGACCGGGCGAACTCTATTCCGTCTTCAATAACCCGGTATTGGTATTTATTAAATTTCTACTGTTTCAATCGAACAGAATGATTGATATATTAGTTAGTTGTCAAGTCTAATGTCAAAAAATCGTTTGTATGGGAAATAGAGAAGGGCTGTTTTTAGGGTTTTTTCGGCAATCATTCCAATTTTTCTCACCTTTTAAACCTTCCCTGGACTTCCAGGAGTATTTCAAGACTAAAATTAGCCAAATCGGTTCAGCCGTTCTCGAGTTTTAGCGAGACTAAGGAACAGCAATCCATTTTTATATATATAGAAGATAAAGACTATATATTGAACCTGTCATCAATTATTATAAAAACTTATTAGTATTTATGATTACCGTTAAAAGTAAAACGAAATCAAAGGTTGTTTAAAAGGAGAATAACGTTTGAATCTTGGTATAAATATGACGTCTGAACGCACGACGGCAGAGTTCAGTTAGTGCGGACCATAGAAGAATGTGATTATGAATAACTTTCGAGAAATACATTAAGAACAATAATTGAAGTTTCATTTTAAAATATCATGGAACGTAGTGAAACAGGTGACATTAGTTACGTCAGCAATGCTGGCGCTCTCTCTTTGAAAACAACGAATTTGTATAAAGTTCGATATATACGTATATTTATATATATTAAAACCATTGTAATGTCAGAATGGGTTATAAACTCGCGACAATAAATCTTAAAACCATTATAGTTACTCGTATGTGTTTTATTCAGTTAAATACAGTAGTGAAGCAAATAAAAAATCCCCTATGAGCAAATTTTATTTTATTTTTACCAGGAACTATTCATTTGTAACCCCTAGGTTATTGTAGTAATGGTTGTCGCGTGCTGAGTCGCCGTAATGTATGCGTCATTTCGGCTGGAGTTATTGAACCTTTGCTATTATAAGATGTTGCCATATAGTTAAAAATAGCTCCAATTTAATAATATATCGGTCAAATGTGGTTGCCATTACTAAAAATATATTTACTTTGTATTTCTGTGGATGCAAACTGAAACTGTTCTTACATTTTTTAATGCTTCACACGTAATAAAAAAAATTAAGTGAAAATATTATGTATTGTTATATGATGGCGACTTTCGTTTTTTTTTATCGCACATTATTTAAAGCCATTGTATAATAATTCATAACGGGAACCTCTAATTAAAGCGACGCCGGTTGCACTCAAATATTAACCGTGGGTTAAATAAACCCTTCGTTAAAGCATTGTTTGGACGTTTCATACGGGTTGTGTAAGTTACGAGGAAGGTAAGGCAAATATAGTAAAAAATGTTCGTGTATTAACGTATGGAATGACGGTTTTTTTAAGCGGTATTTAATGTAAATTGTACAGGAAGAGTTACATTGTATAGAGAAAATTAAGGCTCTGATGTTTAAAAATTACAGGCATGTTGAACTACTGATTATAGGTGTTTAATTGACACGAAACAATTAAGACAGAAGATGTAAGCCGAGTATTACGCACGTATTTTTTTAAGAAAACCAACGTTCATTTGTTAAACATGTTTTTAATACTCAATACTCATTAAATACTCAATATTCATTCACTTCATTACTCAATATTTACTCACTTCAATACTCACGAAAGTCTTAGATCTCATCATATCTTGTTTCATTTTAAGTTTATATAGGTACCTATAGAATATATTTCAAGTTTGGTTGACAAAATTTCATGTGAGCAAAATGTTTTATTTTTTCGTTCCTATTAAAAAAAGTGTCAATTAAGTATTGAATGTAGATAACGTTTATTGGAGTAAAGATGTCAATACAATAATGAAACACCGAATGGAAGCTCTTTTAATTAAACTTTATACGTACAAAGAAAGGAAAATGACATGACTTACTCAATAGGAGCTTAATATTTTTATGCGACAGTACTGTTGAAGAGTATATTTGTTAAGTGATTCTTATATTTAATTCGAAATATTATTAAAAAACAATACTCAATCAATGCAAGACCATGATTTACTCATAAATCGCTAAATCTTTGTTCTATTACCATACTATTACGAAATGTGTAACAAAAATATTATCATGTACGAGGATTCTTATGGAGTATGTTCATATTCATTTAACCAACCTGTCCATACGCGAGTACAGTGGCGTTGTAGCCATCGAGCGCGTTCTCCACCAGTTTTCTGACACATGTGTCGTATAACTGCTGCTGGTCGCTGGCTGGGTCGAAGGCATAGTCAAAGGTGAAGGCTCGTTCAGAGCCCAGCGCCACGCCACCCTCGCCAGCGGCTCCACCCGCCCGAGCACAGATACCACATCCCTCAACCACCTCCGCGGGTGTTTGGGGGCGGATTCTGGAACAAAGAATAGAAGAACATTCAGCCTGACACTGGTAATAGAAGTACAGCTAGCATCTTAGTCCTTCCTATCATCCTATCAGAAGCCCACTGCTGAGCAAGGCCTCTTTCTCACATGGAGAAGGTTTGAGCATTAATCACCACGCTTGCTCAAGACGGGTTGGTGATTTCAAACTTATAATTGTGAAACTATAAGACCAGGTTTCCTCACGATGTTTTCCTTTACCGTATGTCAGTGATGTCTAAATACTCTCAGAAAGCATCTTAGTAGGGAACAGAAGAAACATTCGTAGTAATAGCAAGAGTACCTCAGTTTAAGTATGACTCAAAATGCTTAAATTAAAACTCCATATGAATGAATGCAAGACCATTTAAGTGTTTATTTTCAACTTGTCATTTTATTCTGGTCATCACTATACTGTTTTATAAGCTATGACGTAATTTTTTAATCGAAGCTTATTTAATTCTTATATATTTCTGAATCTAGTTAAACTTTGTATAAAGCGCGTAAAATCATTAAGTAGGTACCTAATATTTCATTTGCTGATTAAAATTTATAGTATACTACGTTAGCCGTATTTTTGTTTATATGAAAATATTAAATGCATTCTTATAGCGCTTTTAAAGTGACACAGTACTAAGCGGTCAAGAAATGTCAAGTAAATTTACATACGAGCATGACCTCGTGTCAAACTGGTAGTACTTTTTGCACGGCCAGTTAAAGAGTAAGGGCATAAATAAGGGCACATTATTATTAAACACGTATCGTAGTAGGGCCGGCAGCCCGCCGCGCTGTCTGCGCACACGGGCTGCGCGTGCGCACCGTCTTACACAAGTCATGTCTTCATTGGCGTTACATCAGACATACCTTTTTTATTTACATTAGCTTACATCGCACGTTTTTTAGATTATCTGTTTAAATACCTATGTAAGTTTACATCATCGCATGTATATCTTCTTAAATCTATAGGAGTTTTATATTATGTTTTACATGTCCAGTCTATTTATGTTGAAATTTAATCGACATTTTTCTTTTTACTAGGCCCTTACATATTATAATTTTATGAACGGATACGAGCATAAACGATCAAGTGACGCGTTTTACGATTTAAGTGTATTTTTACAACGAGAGTTGAATGACCTTGTCTATTTAAAACTCTGGAATAAAGCGGTGAGTTGTTTTCGTTTTGACTTTGTGTCAATAGCGTCAATGGAAATGAGTTTTTTCAGATAGCAGACATAAAGATCGTACCAAAATTTCTTATATTTTTTTGTTTTTAAAATTTTCAAAGTATTGAAATAATGCGTTTAATTGTATATATCAGTACAAGTGAAGGATATACGCTAGCACGCGATGTGTAGCTCCTGTCTGTGTGTTTATTGAGCGATGTTTAGACAATGGCTCTGACGAACAATAGATGGCCACTGGGACGCTCGTAGGCTCGTACAGTCATCGATACGTGAATACAATGTAACAAGTTTAAGGATATGTTACACGTATTAACTGACTGGACAAAAAAGGGTTATGTCGTTTGTATGTGGCGTGTAAACAGAATTAATTGCTGATATAATGATTACTGAAAAGGCAACCAATAATATTTATAATAAACACCTCAAATTAATAAAGAGAGTGAGCGTTATTGAGTATAAGAAAGAAATGCGAAGAGTTGAAAATCTTTATATTATTTTAGTGAATGTTTTATACAAAAACTAAATTATCGTAGTACTCATTAAAAAAATGTAATTAATATTTAAATATGATGTGAGATAATTTTTAATGTATTTTTTTATATTGATTTAATATTATTGAAAATATTCAAGACTTCCTTACCTTATACACTTTACTTTCCTTTTCTTTCAGAACATATCATACAATTTTTCCTGTCGCATCTTAAGTTATTTTACTGTTAATATTGCTACATTCCAAAACATCTTTAAAGTTAACCCAATTTTTTAACTTCCTCACCCGCCTGTTTCCTTATATCGACCCTCTTTATTGCGTTTTTAACGACAAAATTTCTTGATTTGAAAATAATGTAAAAATGATTTAAATTTTTATGAATAAAATAACAAAACGTAAACAGAAAGTATGAAATTTTGCAACTTTAATTAAATATTCTAAAGGTAAATCAGATATTAACACTATAATTAAATTTACTTTAAAAATCTATGACTGTTATTTCCTTCCAAGCCAGAAAGACATACCATCAAGAGGACTTTAAAAAACAGTTGTCTGTATTCCTATTCCTAATGAAAAATACCTAGAACTATAAGTATATTCCCAAAAGACCTAAAGACCTAATTATGTTACATTACGCAAATCAACTTATGAACTAGTTTCTCAAAATTCAAATTAGAACAACGAAACGAAAAATATGTGTATGGAGAGATGCCATGTTTCCCAAAGAGGGTTGATGTCAGGCAGGCGACTAGTCGTAAAAACAATTAGCCCAAAATATTCACAACATGTAAGGCAGACCCTGGCCAAAGCTGGGAAATTGCCAGGTAGAAGAAGGAGGAGGAGAGAGATGCCATTGGATATAATACAAAGAAAAAATTGTCTTCGTAAAACAAAGTGGGTACATGAAAGATATGATAATGTTAGCTTTATGATTGAAGGTCACAAAATTTTAATAAAACTAGTAGATGTCCCGCGACTTCGTACGCGTTATCGTAATCATGTATAGTTTTCTTACTTTCACACGCATTACAAAACAAATACTGTGACATTCGAACTAATTTTAAATATTAATAACGTTATTTATAAGAAAAATCACACAATATTCTTGATTGCTATGAGCCAAAACAAAAAAAAATAAAATACAGGCATATGTTTTTTGTATAGTTTTCTTATGTACTTTCATACGCATTACAAAACAAATAGTATGACATTCGAGTTCGTTTTAAATATTAATAACATTATTTATAAGAAAAAACACACAATATTCCTGGTTGATATGAGCCAAAACAAAAAAAAATCAAGGCATATGTTTTTACTTTTTTATATACAATACTTCGCTTATATACAAGACAGACCATTTTAATTTCACTCTCATAAACGTCAATGAGATTGGACATCCGCAGAATTTAGTATGATACATTACGCATTTAATACAATTACATTAAAAAAAAAGTGTAATAAAACCGAAGGTTTTAATCAAAAAAGATATTCAAAATAAACCGAGTATGTACATTAATTTGTCAATAATAAATAATTTGTATTAACCAGTTCGGTGGAACCTTGGTTATATTAATAATGTTATGAAACCAGTTTATTAATCCAGAGGCTACAGTAAAGGTTGTAGTTTCGGTGCCCACGTAGATGTGCCCACGTTGGTGGGCGAGGAGCGAAGTGTTGATAGACCGCCCACGACTGTTCCAGATTACCATCGGATATTGAAGACTTTTATAATTTATAATGCGAGAATGAATATTAAGATCTTTACAATATAAACTATTTAATTTACTCAGAAATATATAGAGTAGTTTGTATTGCAAAAGAAATTGAGTTCTGTAGATTATATATTAAATATAGTTTACATTATATACCTATATATAGCCCCCTTAAATATGGCATAAAAAATACACCAATATATATATATATATATATATATATATATATGAAACACTAATAGTATATTAAATTTAAATAATTCACATATATACTACCACGTACAATAAACAAAGTTAGTCAAGAACAAGCAATCGGTTGATTCATATTTTAACACGGTACCCTATTATTTAACTATTAAAAATAACACTGATAATCAAAACACGATTTATGTAACAGATAGGTCCTTGACCTATGCCTACTTCGTAGTAAAACCAATTTTTAGATGACCAAATAAGTGAACGTTTGTAAATATTTTTGTCGCAACCAATTAATAACTTTACATACATAGCTCTGTTCCCCGGAGATCAACATTGAAATAGTGTTTCCAAAGAAGGTACTTATAGATAAAGAGTATATACATATTTGATAGTAAATATATTTTTTTTATACTCCTAATATATATTTGTTTTTTAGAGTGATAGTGTCCCGTCAATCCCTATCATGGGTATAATTGTACCAGCTCATCGAATATCTACCTAGTGACCTTTTCTCGTTACTTCTCCATATTTCGTATAAATTGCATAGTTACAGTACAAACAGTTTTCCCTTCAGTAATGTGAGCAGTTTTGTGTATTAAAAACTATTAATGCTCAATATGTAGTGACGATGGATCACCGATATTCTGCAGCATTAACCAGGTCCTAGGTCTATCGACGTTGCTATAGTATACTATAATTTTAATCATTTAGAAAAAAATATAAATAATATTACGTTCAGACCGTAACTTTTAATTTTAAATTGGATTTTGTGAGATTTAATATCTCTTTGTTTTCTTTGTGTAAAATCGTTTTTTTAACTTAATAAGGTTTCAGTATTTAGTGGAGATAATTAAGAATAACTCATGAACCTTATATTGTCGCTGCGACTTTAAAATTTAATACAGAAGTCAATATTAAATGTGTAATGTTTCATGAGGCTAAGACAAGCATTATTTTATAGTTATTTCTACGTGAGAGTCTGTCGTAGTGAGTAAATTTTTAGTGACCAAAGATTAAAGAAAAAATGTGAATAAAAATGGTCTCAAATACAAAATATTGTCTACTATTTTGCAATACTTTTGTCTTATTTACGGCCGTCATCTAGCCTTCAATAAATAAAATTTACAAAACTATATTTTTCGTCAAATTAGTCCAGTTACTTATATAATGGGAATCAAACAAAGAAAAACTCTTTAAATTCATATTACTATGTATACGTACATATATGTATATACATATGAATAGTTGAAATTATAATTAACTATTAGGGCCATCGATTTCTTGTGACATTACAGTCATTAAATTTTCAAAGAAATACGTAGAAAGAAAGCAATCAATAAATTATTCTTTATTTAATAGATACGTTTTCTCATATTTCAACATTGATTTTTACATACAGGCAGAAAATATTCAGCCAGTATCTTTGTAAGAAACAAAAAGTTCTTATATATATTTTTAT